CGCTCATACCTACTGTAGGCCGTGGAGTTGTGCTCTGCATACGGATTCCCCTTGTACACGATCTGCAAAACAAACAGAGAAACACATTAAACACTGGAGAAAATGCTGCTCCAAAAACAAGTTAAACAATAATGAAAACAAGCTGTTTTCACTTGAAATAAGTTCAACGATCTGCCAATAGAACAAGTGAACGTTTGCTTGGTAAGATTTCTTGAAATAAGAAGGGATGTTCAGATAAATCAGATCTTGTAATCAGCTGGAGAACTCATTTTGAACTATTTTTGACCTGAATAAGGAAATGTTGTTACAATATAAGCCGCAAATGCTCAAAAGCTTTCTGTTTTCTGATGTTAGTTGGTGATTTTCTAAAAAATATGTAAAAAAATACGTGTTTCATCTGAGATACAATTAAAAATAAGATTTTTGGACTTAAAGGTCACCTATCATGCTATTTTTAGGCAATAGCATAGGTCTCAGATATATACAAATATATAAAAAACATGTCTATGAAGTGTTTTGCTCAAAATATCAAACAGATCACCCATTCTAGCCATGCCTCATATCCCTCTATTTCACTTCCTGTTTCTAAAGTGCTGATTTGGGGTATAAAGCTTTGAATAAAAAGGAGGGGGCTGAGCTCATGCGGGACCCGGCAGCTACTGTCTAAACTAAATACTGCCGTGATGAAACGCCATATCATGGATTATCAAGGATTCTCTCTGAAACAGTATGGAGCTCAAAGGCTTTCTCTCTTGCCGGTTATACCACAAGGTGAGTTCCTTTTTACTTCCTGCTTCTTCACACACATGCTCTCCAGTACAGGTTAGCTCTGAGTGTTAGCGATGCTAATGTAAACACCGACCATATTACGTCCAAAACAGTCGGGCATTGTTTCTGATAGCAACGTTTCTGATAGGGCCGTGGGTCCACATTTCAGATATTACGTCATATCGGACGCAAATCTGGATCAGCTCCGTTGTTCCCCCGTTTTTAGAGATTTGGGTACGGAGGAAAAGAGAGAGGGGTTTATTTTCTGACGCTGCGTGAGTTCCCCGACACACCGGGGACACATGTTTATGTATAAAAGAGATCAAAAAGTGCATTTTGCATGATAGGTCCCCTATAACAGGATGATGCATTGTCTAAAAACAAGACCCTATATCTCACTGCAGTGTTACTTCTGAAGTTATTATGTCTTTTATCAGGAGTAGAGACATATTCTGACTGTATATTAGACTAAGATACCGGGCAAGATTTCGAGTTTTTGTAGTGAAGATGAATATATTTGAATAGGGTAAAAATAATTAACGTATAGATATCATGATGGAACTTCCCCAGGTGGTTACAGACATGAAGACAATACTTTTTTGTATTACAAGTTTTCTGAAATGTGATTTTTTAAATATGCAAATTAAGCATTGTGTCTCATTTGCAAACATTTTGGTCACAGAAATGTGATTATTGGATGAAAACCTGGTTCAATTTTTTTTTTTCATTTTGCGACTTGCTAGAGTCAAAGGCTTTTGCAAAGGGAATGTCGTTATATCATAAAATACTGCCATAAAAAGTATATTTTTTCTGCTTGTTTTTAGTAATAAAGTGTCAAAACACTGCCGGTGATATAAAGAGATGAACGTGGACGGTTAACTGTGTGTAAGTGCTACTGAAGTGGAGATTTGTGCTTAGAGAAGAATCCATATCTTTCAAAACAGCCTTTAAAGATATGGATTGTGAAATGCATACACAGCTGAATATTATAGGGTAGAGAAATCCCCAGATGCAAACGGACAAAAGTGGTTGAATAAATATGTAGTGTTCATTTTTTCTTTCCCCCAGTGTGAAAGAAAACTTTGGGTTATAGAAGCCTGAAATGTATCCGTGCATAAAAGATAAGCCCCTAGCCTGCTGTGCATGCTCCTAAAATACAGCTTCAGTGATATTGATATCAGATGCCAGCTTCTTTGAACACACCCTTTTATTCCTTCCTTTCACACCCAGCAGGAGCTCACTGTTTGTTCTCCTGATAACAAAGCCTGCAGTGTGAGGTTACATGTTGTCTCATAATGAACTGTGCTGAGAGGTAACATCCTGATCAGCGTGCACACGGAGCTAAGAGTCAACAATCATTAAAATATCAGTCAGCAGGAGAAGAGACACAGCAGGAGGTGACCACCCTCCAACACAAACAAAACAGAACATATTGCAGCTTTTTTTAATTTCCGGTTGAATATTCCTTTGATTTCTTTAGTTTAGTGTTAAATATTAAGTTTGCAATTATATAAGAATATTATATAAATCCTCACATTTGAAAAACTTGAAGTTGAGAGTATTTGAGATGTTTTGTTTAAATGTATGGCTTTAATTATTAAAGAGTCCTCTCCTGCTGATGTTCAGGTGTATATCAGTATGTAGTGTCTCTACTTTAAAGAGTCCTCTCCTGCTGGTGTTCAGGTGTATATCAGTATGTAGTGTCTCTACTTTAAAGAGTCCTCTCCTGCTGATGTTCAGATGTATATCAGTATGTAGTGTCTCTACTTTAAAGAGTCCTCTCCTGCTGATGTTCAGGTGTATATCAGTATGTAGTGTCTCTACTTTAAAGAGTCCTCTCCTGCTGATGTTCAGGTGTATATCAGTATGTAGTGTCTCTACTTTAAAGAGTCCTCTCCTGCTGATGTTCAGGTGTATATCAGTATGTAGTGTCTCTACTTTAAAGAGTTGGGCTATAAAGGAACTACAGCACGGTCACATGACTTCACGTCACCACCACTAGGCTAAAGGCGGCTAATGTTGGGCGTGATGAAGTTTAGTCGTCTCATTTAGACACTTGTTAGCAACCGCAGTTTTGTATTTACTGACATATTTTATCTTAATTCATTTGAACACCACACATAAAGGTATGCAAGAATAATTACCTGTCCCATGAAATCAGTGAAGAAGAGCATGTTGCAGAGGAAGGCGGTCCAGCCCAGCAGGTGGCTGACACACAGGTAGCGGTAATGACACGGCATATTCATTAACGCTTTCATCATCGACCTGAATGTCATCCTCTTCTGGGCCTACACACACACACACACACACACACACACACACACACACACACACACACACACACACACACACACACACACACACACACACACACACACACACACACACACACACACACACACACACACACACACACACACACACACACACACACACACACACGAATATGATTAATACAGAGCAGATGTTTCTCTCGTAGATCTCGTTACTCCTCTGATATTTATTTTCTAGTGTCACTTCAAGAGATTTGAAGATAAAAAGTTGTGTGTGGCACGAGGATCTGAAGAAGAAGGAATGAAAGGGTTGGAAGTAAAGATCACAAGGCAACATTAAGGGCTTTGTTCAGGGGCTAGAAACGGGTGAAGATGAAGCAAAAACACATATTCAGGCTATGATGAACGATACAAAGGCTGGCATGACATCAGAATTTTCAGCTTTCATACATAAAAGAAACCTCAGATGGTCAAAGGAAGCTAACTGGGCTCAACAGAGCAAAGGCAATTAGACGTTTTAAAGCAAGAGGAAGAAGAGTATTAATCAAACGTCTTTACGTGGCTTCAAAAATGAAGAAGATAATGAAAAAGTAATACAAATAAACTCAGCTCGGGAGCGTTGGACATATTGAGGGATGTTCAGAGGTTTTCAAAAATAGTTAATATTACAGGATATTTTCACACTTCAGGATGTTGAAGAGTCTCCTCTGCAGAAAATAACCAAATTAAACATTTAAAACACCCTCAGGATGATTGGGCAATGGTTCTTGCAGTAAAGGATTATTCTTCATTTATGTAGGTCAAGCCCAGTTTGGCTGAGATTGTAAAAAATGCATAAAAAACTGAACATTTTAAACACAGAAAAAGCATTTTTTTCAGAATAAAAGCCCCATAAGGTAACTGTATCCTAACGTGAAACGCAGGAAGAGGCATGTTTTCCAAAATAAAACCCCATATAGTAATGGTTGCTTTAGACTAGAGGAAGTTGAGGAAGAAGCGTGTTTTTGTTTTTGTTTTTTTGTACGAAAACCACAAAGAGTAACTACATGTTTTTCAAAAATAAAAGCACCATACAGTAACTTGAACCTTACAGGAAGCTCAGTAAGAGGAAGGTTTTTTTCAAAACAAAAGCTGTAGGGGTAACTATATATTTACAGGAAGCTGCAGAAGAGGCATGTTTTCCAAAATAAAAGCCCCAAGAAAATAACTATCTCTACAGGAAGCTGAGGTCTATACTTGTTTTTCAAAATAAAAGCCCCAGAAAGCAAGAATTTGAGGATTAATATTTTTTTTTTGGTAATCTTTCCTGTACAAACTCTTTGTTTGACTGCTGGGCGTTTGAGGTCACTGAGCATGTTTTTAATGTTTGATGTCTGATGTTTAATGTTTCAAAATAAAAGCACCCAGAAGATACCTCAAGAAAAGAAAATAACTATCTCTATGGGAAGCTCAGATCCATGTTTCTTTTTCAAAATAAAAGCACCAGAATATGAGGATAAATGACCTCTTTGTTTGGCGCTGTAAGTCACTGAGTTTGGTTCAGAGGGTAACTGTATACTATGCTTGTTTTTCAAAAATAAAAGCCCCAGAAAGCCAGAATATGAGGATGAATAACGTTTTTTTTTGCTATCTTGTCTTTACACACCTCTTTGTTTGGCTGTTTGGCGCTGTAAGTCACTGAGTTTGGTTCAGAGGGTAACTGTATACTATGCTTGTTTTTCAAAATAAAAGCACCAGACAGTAAGAATATGAGGATTAATAATGTTTTTTTCTTTACCCACCTCTTTGTTTGGCTGCTTGGCGCTGGAGGTCACTGAGTTGGCTTCCCCCAGAGCAGAGAAGGATCTGGGCCTGAGGTCTGTGACGGGTCCGGGTCCCACTGGAGAGACGGGTTCTTTAACCAACGCTCCGTAACCATTACTCTGAGTTCCCAGCAGGCGGAGGGCACTGGGTTTAGAGGGGCCAGAGTCTGAGGGGTCTTTATCCAGAGGCTGTTCAGGAATACTGAAGAGGTGCAGGGTGAGGAAGACTCCCCAGGTGAGCGCTGAGAAGAAGAAGATGACCTGGTACTCTGATCCCAGCGCCTCTCCCAGAACAGAGTGGCCCCAGTCCATCGCTCCCACCAGGTACCCGAACGCACCACCCAGACCTGGAGGAAACAGCAGAGATTAACACATGACAGATTATTTCTTTTTTATTCTACTAAAGTGATTTTATGGCTTGATATTTTGCATATTTTGGAAAGGGTTTAGATTTACCAATGTTTTTTGGTGATCTCGGAACAGAAACAGGTTTGTGTGCCCTGATTAACCTGGGGGCTGTGTTATCTGGAACCTTGTGTTCCTGGTAGGGTCTCCCATGGCAAATTGGTCTCAGGCAAGGGGTCAGACTAAGATTGGTTCAGAAGACCTCATGAAAGACGACACACGAAGTGAGGATACCCGGCCCGGAGGAAGCCCGGGGTCCCCTTCTGGAGCCAGGCCCAGAAGGAGGACTCGTCGGCGAGCGTCTGGTGGCCGGGCTTGCCACGGAGCCCGGCCGGGCACAGCCCGAAAAGGCGACGTGGGCAACACCTCCGCTTCTCCGTCCCGCGGGCCCACCACCTACGGGAAACAGCGATGGGGTCGGGTGCGCTGCCAGAAGGGTGGCAGTGAAGGCAGAGGGTCTCGACGGACCAGACCCGGGCGACAGAAGCTGGCTTTGGGGACGTGGAACGTCACCTCTCTGGGGGGGAAGGAGTCGGAGCTTGTGCGGGAGGTGGAGCGTTACCAGTTGGATCTGGTTGGGCTCACCTCTACGCACAGCGTCGGCTCTGGAACCTTACTTCTGGATAGGGGTTGGACTCTATTCTTCTCCGGAGTTGCTCAAGGTGTGAGGCGCCGGGCGGG